GACCATATGATAGGACGCCTTAGCGAGTGGTTGTTTCTACACTTCTTAAATAATCTAGGTAGAACGATAAAGACTTTTACATAAAGGCTTATCTCTAAATTGGTGGTAGTTCCCTCATTTGCTTTGTATTCTCGTACGAGTATTAAGGACCACCTACATGCTTGTAAAGACAACTTCATGAAAACATGCCACATAATCAAACACAATTTTTCTATTCTTTCATTACAGTGACAATAAAAATTAAATCAGACTTGCAGAATAAAACAACCCGTTGGTAATTCAGCAATCCCTAACACATATATTGTACTATTGGGAGATTGAGAACATGAGCATCGTACTTATTAGATTTTATGAGCCTTTTACATCAAATGAAAATGAGAATTAGGATTTATCAGTGAAATATAAGGCAATCTTACCTGGTATATATGATTTGACTAAGTGATAAAAGTCAAGAAATCGAACAATTTTATTCATTATAAGTTGGTTATGAAACAAGGGAATGATCATAACGAAGTTCAATCATTATATAAGACTATAAGGCAAAAGAAATATCAAAATAGTACCACCATGTTGAGTTCATCGTGGTTCTTGCATAGACAATGGTTGGTGTAACGTCTTATTCAAGCTAACCCTAATAACAAGGATATGGGGATAATGATATATACTGTGAATTTCTCGATTTTTAGCTTACTTGCAAAGAAGTAACTTTTATGGATTTCATGAAGGAACGGTTTGAATGGTGTGCCCATGAGCTACATCACTGATGCACTCATACCTTCAAAGGATAATGAACATGGAGATTATGTTTCAGAGGTTTCCCCTAACCATTCTCTTACCCCATAGGCCTATACTTGAAGTTAAATTTTCGTAGTCGACTTCATGATCAAAAGGGTAGAGATCAAACTCCAGCCTACAGAGACATACGAGATCAAGTATTTATGGCAATTAATGTCCTAATCAACTACACTGTCGTACTTTTCAGGAGGATATCAAAAAGGTCAATTAAAGACCTATATTTCAAGCACATGATTGGTTTGATATGTAAATATAGGAACATGTTTTATTGCTAGTCTTAAAAAGGAGTAATAGCTTCCGGTCATAAAAAAGACATCGGGAACTACCACTGGGGTATGATGGTAGAAGTTCACTAAGATCATTACCTCAGTTGGATCAAATCAGTATATTAAAATAAGACCATTCACTACTTCTTGAAACTCGATCTCTCCACTGGATGAACCATATCCTTGGATAAGCTTCATGCCCAAGTGGTCTTCGTGATAGAAGAGACAATTGGCGATAAGTTCGGGTGAATTGCTTAAACAGTCCCAATCTGCCCCTCTAGCGGTGGGAGAACAGATATTGACTATATTTATATCGGAACAAACAGTTACAAGGCCTAACTTATATTCATGTGCTTCATATTCGTCCGCAGTTCGCTTCCAACACATTTAGAAATTCAAAAAAGAATCGATCTGATCCAAATAATAATCTTTTTCTTCTTAGACTCGTACCATAGCATGTAAATATATTGTTGATGGCATTTATTGTGAAGGTAGTGAAAGTAGAGGGGGGTGAAATGGAAAAAGTAAAAAAAAGAAAGACAAAGGTGTGCTTGCTTTTTGGGGTTTGAACCCTGATTGCTCTCTTATCCACGTAACTTACGTCATCCCCTATTATTTTAGGGATCACACCCTTTCCCCTCCACGCGCTCCTGTCCCTTCCCATTTCTACGCGCTCTTTATGACACGTGTGCAATCCTTTCTTCATCCTACCGACCCTCAAGGGTTAAAACTGAATGCTCTTTTTTTTTTATTTTTTATTTAAATGTTAAAATCAGATAAAATTATATAAAATATAAAAAATAAATCTTGATATTAATATATATATAAAAGTTGAATGCTTTTTTTATTTAATTGTTCAAAATATTTCATCTAATAACTTTTTTAATTAATTGTTTAACTAAAAACAATATTATATTTAGATTTATTATTATTTATAATTTTTAAAATAGAAAAAATGTTAAAAATTGAATTTAGTAATTTTTCTATTAAAAATATATTTTTTAGAGGGGTAAAATTGCCAACAGCCTGTAGTCTAAGATTTTATTCAATATTCTAAATGTATATAAATAATACTTATTTAATTCTAGAAAATAAATCTAAACCACCTGTATAAGAAAATAAATCACGCGTTAATATAATTTCAATATTCAAACAAATACTTATATTTTTTCAAATAAAATCCAAAAATTAAGGGGCTGGTTACCAAACGCTTACTCGGGTAAGTGAACACCAAGTCATATTACCTTACCAGATGAATATGGTAAGGACCAATAATCTTACTCGGTAAGAACGAGACAAAGACCAAAAGTCTTACTCGGTAAGTGAGGGCGACGACTTTTACCACGGTAAACGCATGAATATGGTAAAGACCAATAGTCTTGTCTGGTAAGAACGAGACAAAGACCAAGAGTCTTACCCGGTAAGTGAGAATGACGACTCTTATCACGGTAAGCGCTTACCGGGTAAATTGTTGCATACAAAACCGTTTTGGTGGACTGAAATCTTACTCGGTAAGTAAATGTTAGTGTCAAATCTATTTGTAAATATCAACCGTTCATCGAGTTTAATAAATATATGTTTTTATAAATATTTCAATTGTTTCATGATTTAAAACATTGATCATAATGTGAATGAACACTAATCTAATCATCTTTCATAAATATACAAATCATAATAAAAAACCTAACAACGCAAGTTTATATATTTTTTAAAGGTTTATACTACTCGTACCCAATTTTCACATCTATAAATCTATAACTATGTGGGGTTTTTAATTATTTAATTATATAAAAAAAATCAATATTTTGGATTTGTACTATTAAGGTTTTTATATATTGTGAAATTTACAAATAATATTATTTAATAGAATAAAGCATCAAGATATTTTATGAGTTTGATACTTTTATTTTTGGATTTTAATAAATGAAGGTACAAAATACTTTTTATTAAATTGTAGATAATATCTTACATAATCTAAAGGTTTTTTAATAATCATTAAAATCAAATGATTTACTATTTACATTTTCAATATATGATTTGACCTGATTTTGACATTAATTGTAATGCATATATGTAACGTCTCAGACCAACCGTATTAAATTTTGTCCGCTTTATTCTCGCATCTGGACTCAGGGTTTTAGAACACGTGTAAGACAACTTTTGTTCTCCTCCCCAACCAATGGAGGATCTTACGCTATGCATCACAAGTCCCAAAACCATGGGCGAGGTATCTCCTACTTGTCTTCTTAAAAATCTAACTGTATTTTCTAATCCCGTTGATTATTATTAATGAAAGTTTTTTGCTTAAACAACTTTACTTATCTTAACATAGTTATGGAATTAATTGTAGTTTTTTTATTAACCTGGATATCCAACTCACTATGCAAGCCGACTAATCCCAGGTCGACCACCTGCTTTGCAGATAGCCCGAAGTCACCGCATTTGAACCTCCGTGGCCACAAGGAGATTTTTATTCCTCCTTGTATTTGAACCTAGGACCTCCAGGTAGTTTTGATCTTTGGAGTCAAGTTCAAACCAATCAGACACCATCCTTATGGTTTAATTGTAGTTTGTTGTTAACACTTGCAGTTGTGAAGCTTGCTTGTTCCAAGTCTTTTTCGATTTACTAGGTCACAAACGTTGAGGGAATTACAACAAACACCGGATATATATCCCGGGGGGGGGGGGTGTTTGATTCACTGGTTTTATGAATTATAAAAAATCATATTTTTATTGGTTCCAAAACCCATCCCGAACATCTTGATTTGACAACTCAATATTTTGTTAAATAAACGTTTGATCACATCAAATAGAATATGGGAATTGGTAATGATATTAAGAAATGATCTGCGTTGATTAATACACCCCTAAATAGCATCATACTGTACATAAAACTGTATACTATACAGTCAAATATATCTGTAGAATGAACAAGATTTGCCCTAAAAAAAGTTATGTTTTGAAAAAAAAAAGCCATAAATGAATATTATCCACAATTATATACATTCAATTTTGCCAAATAGAAGCATGAAATCCATGGATAGTGTGTCCACCATTTTTACTTGGCATGGAAGGTTTGAATCAATTGTTATATGTTCTTTTGTACCTTGTACTTGCCCACTTTGGCATAATGTTCCTACTCCACTCTTTCCATGTGACTTTGCTACAGGAATATAATTGTAACCTATAAAATTAGGTTCATATCTTATTAAAAATTTTACAGTTTGAAAAATATTTATATTGGGTTATTGACCAACATCTTTCTAAATCAAAACGTCACACTGACTGCTACATTATAAGGAAATAAGTTGTGCCTTCTTCACCATCAAACCCTAAACCCTAAAATTTAGTTGCCTTTTCTTTTGTCATTATATTTTCCTTGAATGGAAATATATTATTTTTACTATTTAATTATGAAGGAATATGGAATCTTAAAAATGGACATATCATGGAAAGTAAATGGGGAAATCACCAGTGAAAATTCATAATTTTTTAATTAAATAGTTAAATAAATGTTCTGTTCACAAATCCAGGGTCATGTGAACTTGCTCAACTTAATTTTACGGCTATAATTTTTCTTGGGGTATGAAATGTGACTCGCTAAATTTAAGGGTGCTCCGGGATTTTTAAAAAATGCAAGAAATATTAACCAAAAAACCGAAAAGAATCCCATGAAATCGACCAAAGACTTAAGAAATTCATTAAAACAGCAGAATTCGATTAAAAGCATATTATGTTGCAGACTTTGATCCACATTAATGGTGCACGAATCGGCAAACTAAAAAAGTGTTGGTTGTATTGCTTTCTCAATTTTAATGACTTTAATCATATTATCAAACTAAAAAAATGTTGACCAGATACTTAATTGTTTGAAATATCATATGAAATAACAGAATAAACATCAAGAAATACGGAAGTAACAAAAGGGTTGCGATCAAGTGAAACCAATATGTTTTTGTGAGACTACTGAGATTACAAAATAACACTGAAACCTTCGCAACAGAACATTTTGAAGGTACTAAAAAATACAACAAATGGTCTCACGATTCCTGGTCAGTAACACAAAATAGGAACCTTACCAAAAACTTGTTATATTTTCTTACAATTTGGGCTTCAATTAAACCAACCCATAAAATAGGCAATACGTGTGACAAAGGCATAAAACAAAATCTTCATTGCAAAAACACAACTTTTCCATCAAAACTTCATTTTAGAACTTAAACCATTTAGATGCCGGCGAACTATTCTAGTGGCCTTTCCGGCGACCACCTTTCTTTCCCTGCTTCTTTTTTCCACCCTTCTTTTTGCCACCTTTACCGGACCCACGGCTGCTAGAACCACCACCCAACCCATGGCTGCTAGAATCATTACCGAACCCATGGCTGCTAGAAAAACTACGGTCCCTAGAAGAAGCACCTGGTTTCAACAAGTCTTTGACATTGAGTATCCCGTTCTTGAAGTGGCCTGCGGTTGACAACAGCACTCTGTCCTCCGGTTTACGTGAGTCCGATGCCCTTCTGCTACGGTTCCCACGCTTCCCTCCGACTTGTCCAAGTATCATATTCTAAAAAAAATTAGTTGGCAACCTCGGTTACACCATAGAAGTTGTGAACAAGAAATAACACATCAACCAAAGGGTCATTGGCCCACCATCCTAGGAGGTCAAGGGTGAGAGGTGTGTGTGAATATTTGTTGTATATAAATATTTATATAATTCAGAAAAAGGAAAAAAAGATGAAGCAACACATGAATGCTGCAAGAGAAGATCAACAACCTCTTGTAATATCTTTTGATCCCTTTCCTTCTGTTTTTTCATTGGTACTCGCGCTACACTTAGAGGCAATCTCTGATTCTTGGGAGGCTGCAACGTGAAAGAAAGCAACGGAAATTTATATTATTGTATTTAATATGATGCTCTAGAAGTGAATGAAAAACAATACGATCATAGTCATGATTGCCCATACTCGTTGATGCACAAATTTGTTCATCGTGATTTAAGTTTCAATGAACTAGACATTGTGGTTTTAGTTTCCTTACCAATGATACCATTTAAAGACGGTACTAGATGGGAAAGAGTGAGGTAGGCGGGTGAAAGAATTGTGGAGGTTAGGGTTTTAATTTGACATGGATAGTTTAGTAATACACTAAAGGGTTGTTTGGTTGGTTTTCGATTAACTCCTGTATGGATAAGGTTTTTTGTGTAGACAAATCTGTCTAATATAGTTCAAAATGTTTTTGTATGTTTTTGTTTGGGTGGGTTTTATCATAGATAGAAGGAGCTTGTTCTTACTTGGGAGGGGCAGGTTTAGAAAAAACCTTGGCTTCCTGCATAAAGTTTCCCCTAAAAACTTATTGAATAAGCTATTTTCTATATGATTAAGCCACTACCAAAGAGTCATGTATAAAAAAGCTGACAGAATAGGTTGCAAGTCCTATTAAGCTCATTAAGCTGCTAACAAACAGGCCCTAATCTTGTCTCATCTCCCTGATTTTTGTTCCACCTATTTCGGTGGACCAAAAAAATAATGCATTTTTGTCTCATTCTGTCCGGTCCCTATTCCAGTCTAATGTAAAGCCAAATGTGGGACAAAAAAGTGTTTGTTCTGTTTTGTCCCGTCATGTCCCTCATACCAAACACACCCTTTATGAAACAAATAACGACAACAATTGTGAAGGAGATTAAATCATGATGAGTGAAATGTTCGATTTAAACCACAATGATGCAACTTGTTAAAGTACCTCTCGATTTTCCCATATATGAAAAAAAAAGAAAAGTAAGATTGCTACAATAAAGAGAAACTACTCAAAAGAAGGTAAATATACAAAACTCACCTTTCCACCAAGAGAAACTACTTTCCTGTTTTCCAAAGCCTTCTTCTCTTTCCATGTCATATGAGACGGTCCTGGATGCATATGCAGATATATTCAAGAGGTCTTAGATTTGATTGTCATGGGTATTATCAATTACTTGGAGGTCATGAAATTAACAGGCAACCTAACGTTTGCCTCATCCATTTGGAGGTGGGACACTTTGCATGGATTATGTATTAAATTATATTCAAGAGGTCTTAGTTTTCTTTTTCTCACACACTTCCCACGAACCAGCGGTCGACACAGAATTAGCCGCTCCCCTCTTTGAGGTAGAGGTCAGGTTTGCATACACCCCACCCTTCCCCAAATCCCACCTTTGGGTGGGATATTTTCCAGGCTCGTTTGGTTTGGTTTTAGATTATCAGAAAGCATGAATATTGCACATCTCAGTAATCTTCACTTCACCTGTGGCCCAGAGTACATTAAAGGACTTTTTTCCTTTTTCTAGAAGACATTTTTCATACTAGAAAAATGTAAAGGCATCTTAATGTGACCACACTTTCAGGGGTTAGATGATGTTTGTAAACCTGTTAAACAAACCAATGTAGCCCCAATTTTTATACACAAACCAATGTAGCCTCAAAAACTCATACTAAGAAGTCACTACAATTTTCCTCTATCCTTGCCTCAAAAACATAGTTGCTACATATACGACGTCTGAACATTGCAGGTGTCCTTTGCATATGATATTAATTATATAATGACGCAAACTGCCGTCGTCTAAATGGGGAATTCAAATGGTGCAGCTATATGGACCTTCAACGTCAATTATAAGGGATTAATTTACATGAATATAGTGAGGCATACAGAAACACTTGCCAGCACGTCCATAGATGCAACTTGACAACTTACACAGTTCAACAATAAACAGAAGTTGTAAAAATAAATTCTTACCCATATACTCGATATCTTTCAATATCGATTTCAGTTCCATCCTCTGGGACTTCATATCCATGTATGTCGTCATTGCTTCCTCTTTGTTTCCTTGCTTTCTCTTGGCCATTATTGTTGAGTTCAATCTGGTTGACAATAAAAGAAAAGGACATATTGTGAACAAATCTATACTTAACAGAAGAGAAGTTGTAAGGATGCCTACACATGTAAAAGCACAAAACCAACTATATATATTTTGAGAATAAACTGGTTAAGAAAGTAATTTATTATCTCGTACTTTCACTTGGCGAAAAAGTTAATTTAGGGATGAGGAACAACGATTTCACATTCAGTACAGAACATAGCATACAGAATAAATTTTGTATCAAACTTTAAGCATCACCAGTGTGAACATCACTTCAACTACAGTTCTAAAGAACATAATAATGAAAATTTATGGATAAAATTAATTGGGAAATCTAAATTAAGTCTTAAACATGTCCATAAACTTTTAGTTTTGTGAATCCAACTATATCCCCCAATTACTGTCTTTCCCTCCTCCAAGACATATACTATAAATTTTTAGAAAAAAATCGATCACTAAATAAAACTAATTAACAAGTATAACAGATGCATTATTATCTCTGCAAAATTCACATCTAAAACCCGAAATAACTTTGCTCTCATAAACTGCTCGATTCGCCATCAACAACGATAAAAATCTGAGTCAAATTTGGATAGAAAGACTAAATAGAAAAGATCAATTCAGATTTGAGATATATCAAGCATTAAAAAAACACCCGGAAATCATGAATAGTCAGAAGGGAAAAAAGGAGTGAGAGGGAACGAACCAGACTACGTAAAACCAGTTGTGACTCTCGTATATTACACAAACTAAAATCTAATACTGAAACCACAACTTAAGAATTAAGAACAAAATCAGTTAAATTTCAATCCCAACCTTGGTCAATTGCCTGATTCAAAAATTAAAAGCTTAAGATAAAGGCTGAAGTCTGAACCAGAGACTTGAAAAAGCGGTGGTCGTGAGCGGTGAGCGGAGTGCAGAGGTTGTGAATGGAGCAGCCGTCTGCTGTTCTGAATTTGTGAACTGGCTAGAGAAGGATTGAGGTTGAGAGATCCCAGCCCAACTAAACAAGCCTTATTAATATGATTTGCAGAACTTGCAGTAACTGTTTCTGCCAGTAATTTACTCAGTCGTTTACTCAAACGCTTACAGGTAAGAGTCTAAAGGGCTCTTTGGTTGATTTATATTAAGTCCTGCATGGATAAAGTTGTCTGTGTGGATTAATCTGTCTGTAACTCCGTATAGATTGGGAAAGTTTTAGTTTGTGAGGGTTTTTCATAGATGGAAGGAACGTGTTTTTATGTGGAAGGGACAGGTTTCGAAAAAACTTGACTTTCTGCATATAACTCCCCCTCGGAGCTTACTGAATAAACCACTTTCTATATCATTGTCACTAGCAAACATTCATGTATAGCTGACCGAATAGCTGTGAATCTCATTAAGCTTATTAAGCTTCTAATAAACAGGTCCTAACACTCAAACTTAACTTATCAAGTAAGATTGTAGTCCATAAAAATGGTATTATATGCAACAATTTACCGGGTAAGAGTTGTCATTCTCATTTACAAGATAAGACTCTCCATCCTTATCATCGCTCTTACTGGGTAAGATTAGTCCTTGCCATGTTCATCTTTTAAGGTAAATGACTCTCGTTCCTTTCCTTACTTCTTATCGTGTAAGATTCTTTATCCTTGTTATGTTACTTGGTAAGGTAAGTAACCCGATAAATGCTTACCCAATAGGCACCGGCGGACCCAAGATTTTTTGCCTAGCAAGTGCACCTTTAAATTGGATCAAATGCCCGCAAAGCCGCTTGATGTGTTTTTAGCCGAATTCCGCCTTTGGGGGATTTTTTTTAGCTTTTTGATTGATTTCGAGGTATTTTTAAAAGTTTTTCGGTTGATTTGAGGGACATTTGTTTTTTTTGTTGATTTATGGGAAACTTTCGGTCAAAGACTAATATAAAAACTCAAGACAAACAAATGAATCATGTAAACAAATTAAAGAAATCATGTAAATATAATTGTCTAACATTATAACTGATCAACTACGGGCAAAGACTAATAATATCAACCTTTAGGGCAAATGATTAATATCAAATTTAGGGCAAACAAATAAATCATTATAATCTAATCAATATAATCATGTAGACATAACTCTAACTGTAGAACATTATAAATTTATAACTAATCATTAATCAATTTATGGAAATGACTAATATCAAATTTAGGGTAAAATTTTAAATTTGAGTTAGGTTTTGATAGAAAACCTGAATGAGAGATTGAAAGGGTGATTGAGTGAGTGTGAGACAGTGAGAGCCTGAGAGAGTGACTAGCCGGAGAAGGTGACCGGCGTCCGTGCGAGCTGGTGGAGTGCCGATTGCAAAGACAACAGCCGAACAGAGGCAGAAGCTTGAGGCGGCTTCTGTGTTTTAAACTGTCCAAGGGAAGGAAATTGAAACATTTTTCAGGAAGTTACACTTTTAACCCTCTGATTTTTCAAATATCTCAAAACACCTCCAAACTTTAACGGATGCACCTTTTATGTTGTTGTTTACTTTTCTATCAAGATTATTCCAACTAATTCTAACTTTTTGTTGTTGTTGTTGTGTTTCACCCGTTTGTTCCATATCTATAACGAACATTCGAGCTATTAAACAAGGAAAAGACACGATAACATTCTAATACAAATAACTAAAAACATGTTCTATATAGATTCTGCTAATAATAGACACCAACAATATATACGAATAACAATGGACTAGTAGATTAAAACAGAAGCAAACATAAGCAATGGAGAAGTAGAGAAGCAAACAGAAGCTGTATAATATGACATCTGGTCAATCAAGAAGCTCCTATTGAGCTTTTTTTCTATCAGAAATATAAATAATTATGAAGCACGATATCTTTTCTTACAAACCACTAAGAATTTTCACACAATAACATGTTGTGGGATATCAAAATTTCAACTCCATATCTGCTGCTGATATCTTGAAAACTGATTCCAAATGATCGAGGTGTCAATGGTGAACACAAAGAATCCAAATTGGAACTATTTGGTTTTGACTCTCTTCTTAACATTCCTGGTCTCAAGAGATAAATATTGCTTCTTCTTTTGTTGTTTTTTTTTTTTGGTATGAACAAGAACAAGCCTTTTATTCCAAACTAAATTGGGGGAGGCCAAACATGGAATCCACAAGAAGATGTAATTGTTGACACCAATAAATTTATGTACATGTCAGCCCACTAGGGTTCTCGACATGAATCACATTCTTTTGCATTTGCGCTCTACCATGTAATGACAACCCCTTGGTTTGTTCTCCATGATAGTTTCTTCCCCATTCTGTTTGTTGTTTTTATTGAACTTGCACTCTCTTGGTTGTTTGCACACTCTTTTCAAAATCTCTAAAACATTCATTTATTTGACAAATACAATGGAGAAGCAAAACAAATACAATAAAGAAGCAAAACCAAAAGGAAACAAAAAAGATCAGGGGGAACAAACCTCTTGGTAGTCTTTTTTTTTTTTTTTTTGCTTAATTAAAGTAAACACACTTTGGACTATAAGCAGCTACGGCTGGCCCTTGTTAGGTTGACCGGGGAATAAAACCAGTTTAACAGGTCGGATTAGAGGTTACGAAAGCCCATTTTTTATATATTTATTTTTTTATCTTTTTCTTTATTATATATAAATAATAAGTATAATAATTACTATGAAGTCTCAGGTTCAAATCAAAGAAGGAATACAAATCTTTTTGTGTTCACGGAGGTTCAATTGCGGTGACTTCGGACTATCTGCAAAGCAGTTGGTCATTCTAGGATTAATCGGCTCGCATAAAGGGTTGGATATCCAGGTTAAAAAAATAAAAATAAATAAGTATAATAATTAAATAATAAAAAATATAAATAAAATAAAACGTGATATATGCTCCAATCAAATAAGTTCTCATTTATGTGGTTATAAATAAATAATTAAAAAAAACTTCGAAAACTCGTACAAATGTTTAAAAATCCTAAAATCTGATAAGAGTTGAGCGGTTTATTTGGTGGTATCTCGGTTCACATCATCTGATGTAGCTCCACATTATAGATTCAAAAATCTTCGATTCAGTTACGTCGAATTCATGACTTCACCGAGTTTGCATCGTGTTCTTTTTCCATTAAACACAATCGTCAAAACAAGATGTTTCTAAATCAAGGCTTTTCGTTTATACTCCTCAATTAGTTTGATAACGTGATTTTTGGGTGGCTTGAGAACCGAAAAAACCATTAGATGCCATTTTTCTGATTTCAAATATCTTGAAAACCAAAAACGAAGCCGTACATAACAACATTAAGCTTAATGAGATTGAGGAAGATGAAAAAGAGGTGGTTAAAACCCCATCTAAACCTTTTTCCATTTACAAAAGAAACAAAGGGTAAAAACTTAACTTTGACAGACAAATTAATTAATGAAAAAAGCAGAAGTCCAGAAAACGGGCAGAAAATGGCGAAAAACCCAGTAACGATTACCCAAATTAGGCATCGACACTTGATACAATGAAATTAACTTAAAAAACTTGATCGGTTACGAAGAGCCTGGTTGTGGTTAATTGGGTGGGGCGACCAGTTACTTAACTAGGCCCGATCAGTTGTGCCTTAACCGGACCCTGCTACACAATCCAAGCCGGTATGCCCATCTCTATTCACATGTGAATATGACCTACTATTCACAAACTACTTACAGTAATTAGCAATAACTATATTTACGTGTGAATTCAACAATCAACATTCACACAAACTAGTTCATAAAGCATCCATGTTCATGTATGGTGTGATTAATGTCTATCAGCCTCGTTCTATCTTCCCCTAACGCGCTTATTTATCTTTGTTCTCAACGACCTAATCAGTTGGTTTTTTCTTCATAACACGAACTAAGTGGTTCGACACTTATTGCAGCTTCATGAACAGACTTTCCTTCAGATAAAAGCAACTCAAATGAAGACTCATTCACCAACTCCTGAGTTAAACCAATGTCGTAATTTGGTAGAACTGAATTATCAATTCTACAATTTTTCTCGACGCTCTCACCAGCTCCATCAATCACACTGTGAGTCTCCATGTTGATCCAAAATTGCGGCTTTGTTTCTTCATTATCTTCTCTCTCATCCCCCTCATCTCCCTCATCTCCCTCATCTACGTGAGCATCAACAACTTCTTCGATACATTTTGGTGCAGAATCAAGATTCTCCGGCACCATTGTTGCTTGATCTCTGTGTGTAAACCCGTTCACATCTGACTTTCCCCCAAACAAAGCTTCTAATTTCGTTTCCCATTCTTTAAGCTTAGACATTCCTGGATATTTTGTCATAGCCTCACGTAATGTTGATTCCATTTTCGTCTTCTCCGCCATTAAGCATGAGAATCTTTCATCAATTTTCAACAAATAACCCTACAATTTATTGTTCACAAGATATCATGTAAGACAAAGTTCTATAAATACATTATGAAAGGTGTCAAAGTTAGAGCCATTATGGTTCATAATGCGTAATCTGTTAACATGGGGGTTATTCACATGTGAATATATATCATTTATACTTCAAATTCCTATACTTGAATGTGAATATTCACTCATATTGATGATATATATTAGAGTATGCTACTAGTACAATGCAACTTCTTGTTAAGGAGATTACCTCAATCTCAGTTGGTGATGAAGGATCACAACATTCATCATCCTTCTTCTCACTTCTTTCACTAACCGCGCCCCATTCAATTGCAAGAATTCCTTCATCGTCAGTTCGTGTCAATTCAAAAGGATCTTCGAAGTCCCCCAACCCAAACCCCCCTGTATCGATCTCTGCAAATTCTCTTTGCCTCATAAGCTCCATACTCCAACATTTTATTGCTGGTCGTTGGCGAACAACTGTCACCTTTTTGCATTTTGTGGCGTCAAGATACAACAACTGCATTTGAGGTATCGAAAACATATGATTACAGAGAATCCACACATAAACAATATGATTAACAAACAAAACATGTAGATAAGTTGTAGTCACATGTGAATACGTGAATAATGTCCACTCACATATAAAATTTTAATTATATCATTATTCATATGCAAAGATATCATTAGAACTACGGGAACATACCATTCCAATAACATACACAACATCACATTATGCATGATTTTTAATTTTTGAACAAGGACATGTACCGTTAGAAATGTTAGAGGACCAGTGTAGAAGCTTATGTCAGCATCTCTTTTCCACCCCAATTTGCTCACCTTCAAGCAGTCCCATATATAGCTGCACCAGTCTAAATCGTGGATTACTGTGTCTTCACGGATGTATGACAGAATATTCAGGTTGCAAATACCCATCTTCATGCCTTCTGCCATTGTGTTGGAGATCAAGATGAGGAAATTAAGCTTGAAATTCAACCCTGCGTCTTCTGAAACAATTATTTCCCTCATTACATCAGCAGGACGGATGAGAGTCTTGCCATATTGTTTCTTCCATTCCTTCAATATGGTATCATCAGTTTCGGTACCCTGTAACGAATGTAATTCGACTCCTCCATTTGGTACCCCAAGCATATCATGGATTAAATCTTTTGTAATCTTAATAGAGCCATTTTCCAGCCTTATTTCCATTTTCTTTTCATCAAACCTATCCACAACATAAAATCCTAGTTTAGAAGGGATTCCATCTACTTTCATATCAAGTATTTTCCCAAATCCCATTTCCTCCACACATTGCCTCTGGGATGTTGACAAGGAATGAATGGCAAGGAACAATGTCTTTGGTGATGTTCTTGTTCGAAGACCATTGTATTTCCGGCGGCTTCGTGGTCTTTCATTATTTTCTACTATAAGATTCAATTGTTCAACTTTATGTGATGGCTTCACCTTCCCGATCCTTTTGGGGTTCTTTATACATGGTGTTTCAAAGCCTGAATCGGAAGAAGTCTTTTTTCTCTTTGGACCTCCGTTTCGTGAATCAACAGAAACTCCTGTGGACTTTTCCTTCCTCGCCATTTTTGCATCATTTCTCAAATCCTTCCCTTTGTATTTGCGTTTCTTCTCACTATTCTTGTCTCCGGATAGTTCACCTATAAAAATATTTCATTGCATTAGATAAAATCCAACACCTGAATTGTATCACTACTTCATACGTGAATATGTCCTGTTATTTACACAAACTTTCCAACATGTATATAAATGAACCATATTTATCTATTTGCATGTGAATATCAATATACACTAACGTACATTTTTTCCTGAATTTTTATGGAGTTGTTCCCAGGCATACTAAAAAAGGTTATTATACACCCCAACCCCGTCCCTGTGAATATGTCATATTATTCTCATAAACTATCAACTGTATTAGGAATCACCATAATCGCATGTGAATTCAACATTCAACATTTACACTTACGAAAGCAATCTCTTTGAAATTTAATCTGACTGCAAATCTAGACAAAGACACAAAGTGGCATCATATGAATCATCCCGACAATATATACCAATTTGGTTTAGTTTTTAGCAGGTTTCAATCAATTCAGAACAAAACAGAAACGCAAACTGGTTTTTCAAGAATGGCAAGTCCAATTCAGTTTCACTAATTTCAACGGTCGACGCAGTTCTAGCACATCTCGATAATCCTCACTTTACCTGCTCCTGGAATACATTAAAGAAGGAACATTTCTTCTAGAAGACATAAACAATGTTAGAACTTCTTGTTTCAGCATGATACAACCTGTTTTGGGGAGGTTGCACTCATGGTATGAGGTAACGATGTTCCTCATGAAAGCAAAGACCATGTTCATTCCTGAGGGGTCAAGCCTCTATAGTGAGCTAAAATGCTCCTATGCCGCAAGCCCTCATTGAGTCAAGTGATTGTTAACAGTAAGATATTAGGTCGCAATTGATCATGTTGACGTTCAAATTCATGAAAACCCTTGATACATGGAAGCTAAGAGGCTAAGGGCTCACTCTAATAGTGATGCCTATCCTAGTTTATTGCAAGCTAAAAAAGGTTAATGTGTTAGGTTAATCATGCATATGAATAGATAGAATAATAGATGCTAGTCTCCTAGGTCTGAGTTTTTGCTGTGATGTGTCAAGCATGGTCCCATGGGAACTGTTACTGGTGGAATTCATATGAGAGTTCAGTCTTTCAATTGGCAATAGGTGTAGACGATTTTGGTGCAGCTAAGGGCTAATTTGCAACTCCATATAATCAGATGGTAATGACTAAAGTTGAGGTGGCATGTGACATGGGTCTAAGATCTTTATCAACTATGTTAACGGGGAACTGAACACCATGCATGATCACCTAGTCAAAGTCATAACTTTTTTTGGCGGCATGCCCTGAAATAACAATCTATCAAGCGACAATGAGGAGACTACAATTTTCTTCTATCTTTGCATCAAAATTATAGTTGCAAATATAAGGCGCCTGAACATTATTGGTCTCCTTTGTAGCATATGATATTAATTGATGTAAATGACAGCAAATTGCAATCGGTTATATGGAAAACCAACTGGTGGAACTATAGATCTTCAATGTCATTATAAGGGATTATTTGACATGCATACATAGTAAAGCTAAAGCAAAAAGAAACGCCTGCCAGGACGTCTATACATGCAAGTTGACAACATACGCAAATCACCAATATAAACTCATGTTGTAAGAAGATACTTACCCATATATTCGATACCATTTATCACCAATTTCAGTTCCATCCTCTGCGACTTCATGTCTGTTGCTTTCTCTTTGTTTCCTTGCTTTCTCTTCACCATTCTTGTTGAGTTCAGTCTGGTTGACGATAAAAGAGAAAAGGTATTGACATGCTTTTGTCAACAAACTTTAGAAATGAGATTTTGTTGAGGATTAGACATGTAAAGGAAACACCAATCACAAGCTTTTTGAGAAGAAAACTGGTTAACAAAGTAACATATTGTCTCATATTTTCACTTGGCTAAGAAGTTATTTGGGAATGAGGAACAACAATTTGACATTTGATATAGAAGATAACATATAGATAAATTTAATATCAAACTTCAAGCATCACTGGAGCGAGCATCACTTCGAAGAGGGTTTTAAATAGAAGAGTAATGAAATTAATACGAGAAAGCAATTGAGAAGTCTAGATTAGGGCTTCAAAATGTGCATAACCATTTAGTTATGTGAATCCAACTATATCCCCCAATTACTTGATTTCCCTCCTCCAAGATATATACTACAAATTTTGAAGGAAATAATTGTAAGTACTAAATAAAGCTCATTAACAAGTATAAAAGATAAATTATTCTCAGTGCAAAATTCACATCAAATTCCAAAACAATGTTGATCTCATAGACTACTCCTTTGACATCAACCACGGGCGGACCTGCTTAGGGACATACGGTGGCACGGGCCACTGCTTAGTGGTTCAGTCATAGTGGGAAAGAATTTATGTTCATGAAGGGTGCCACCGTATGGTTGCCTTGAGTGTCCCTATATCTTTTAAAACTAAAAGTATGACGTAGAGGCAGTTGGGTTAGTTTTTGGCATTTTATTGAAGTGTTCCTTCCGAGAGACCTTGGGTTCAAATCTCGCTCTTACCAAGATTTCCATCTTTTAGCTTTTAATATAGAGTTTTTTTATAGCTTTTGTTATTCTAAAAATAATTGGTCACAAGGAATCGAACCCATGACCTTTCTTTGGAATTACGAGCAAATAACCAACTATGCTATATAAGAGTTTGTTAAAATTTTCTTTATCCTTCATCCTTAAGGTAAAATGGTGCCACCGTTTAAAAAAAATTCTGGTTCCGCCTCAGACATCAACAACAAAAATTTGACTCTGAATCCGATAGAAAGCCTAACAAGAAAATATCAAATCAAATTTGGGATATATTAAGCAACAAACATTAAAAAAGAAGTACCAAGAAAAAAAACTCTCCATTCTTCGATGTTAGATGAGGAGAAACAGAGAGCGGAGAGTGGAAGGATGGCCAGAGGAGAAATGAACCAGACTAGGTAAAACCTGTCAATTGGCAGAGTCCTACGACTATTTTGGCTGGTGGTCTCAAGCAAAGAATAAAGAATGCTGAGAGCCTGAGACCAATATCTTAAATCAGCTATAAATATGAGATCAAAAAGATATTTATAGCCAACCACAAATAGTATGGCATGAATGGGCTATTGGGTTTAATTACAAAAGCATGCGTATACTTATGCAGATGTGATATTATGTTGCAACAACAGTGGAATAAAAAGTAATCTAATGACCCTTCATGGGTAGAACATAATTTCTGTGTGAATAATCGGAAAAATAATCATCAAGTGTTCAAAAGAAAGTAACTTCCATAGCACACATTTGCGCAATTTTCTCAAACCTAAACCAATTTCTATTTACATTACCAAAAACTCTTTTCTAAGCCCTAACAATCAACTATATGATATCATCAACTTTCTTTAATATTCAATTACACAGAACAATATCCAATTTGGCATCATATATTGTAATAAGTGAATCACAGATCAAGAGATGGAGAGGAAGCCGTACCAGCAGGGCCGGCCCTGAGATTTTTGGTGTCCACGGCGAAAAGTCCAAATGATGCCCAATAAAAAACATCCAAGTGTGGTAATTTACAATTGTCAAGCTTTTTCCTTCATAGACCGAGAGACACATTAGTATTTTTCAGTCACTTAAGGTATTTGCCTATGAAATTAGCTATTGCATGACTCCGTTAGTCCATCATGTGTTTCATATAATAATATTTAGGGTCTTGACCAATGATAATCATGAGTTTCATACGTAAAATTGCAAAGTTAAAGGAGACTAGTCAAGTGAATTAGCTACTGCACATTCAAGTTAGGGCAAATCATCACTTAACTACTGCACATTTATAGGTTTGTTCAACTATATTATAGCTGCTAAAATAGTGTTAATATACATCAAAATCTAATGGGATTAGAACAAAAAGCGGTGGATGATAACTTGAATATTAATCACAGAATGAAGAACTAAAACTCCAGAGATAGGCTTGATTGATTCGATGAACAACTAGATCAATTAATAACAATAGTATTCATTTAACTTTAAACAAACATAAAAAGTATAGAACTTATGCCATGAACAGCAAAACTTCAGTTGAAACCCATGAACATAAAAATTTACTTGTGCAGTTGAAGAGTCAATCTAAGAGAAATCAACAATGCAAGCTTCTAATAGTTTCTGTAGCAAATTACTTTCCTCTACCTCTTTTCCCGTACCTAAGCTGGGATTAAAGAAATAAGGAATATCAATCTTACTACCAGGGTACAGATAAGTTTGATGACATACACAAAAACTTACCATGAAATGCATAATACCTATTGTCGACAAGAAACAAGTTTTTATGGTTTTGGCTCTTGGTAAGTAATGATCAAAGTTTTAACATTTGGGTAAACCTAAACTAAACAAGATAAGTTAAATGACCCTAACCTAAACTAAACAAGATAAGTTAAATGACCCTAACCTAAACTAAACAATTAAACAAAATAACCCTAATCTAAACAAAAGATCAAATCTTCAAATAACAATCTAAATCATCAGATTTTGAGCGGTCGAGAGTCGAGAGAGCGAGAGGCGACTGCCAAAGAACAAGAGGTTTATAGTCTTATAAACATCTTTAGGTCAACCAGTCAACCACCCAACAATTAACAAATGGTAGATTGGCAGCAAAAGGCATGGATTTCAATTAGGATTTAGGCATACATGATACATTAACATTATACATACAGACATACGGTGAATCAGTGATACAGTAACAGTACTAGAAACACAAATGACAAACCACAGAGGACCAATTTCACAGCTTCATACTTAGGTTTTGCAATCAAACAAGAATTAGAAACATAAGAAATGAAATAAGTAAAGTAAATAACCCTAACCTCACAAGCCACAAGATGCGAGAGCGAGAGCGAGAGGCCAAGAGCCGGTCGATAGTCGTGACTCGAGAGAGGCAGAGAGCGAGAGCCGATTGAGTCAAGGCCGGACGCGATTTCGATTCGTCAATTGTGAATTGGTTTCTGTTCGTGAGGGAGAAGACCAGATCGAGAGATGGATTCAGCGGCGAATGGATGGAGTCGATGAGGGATTTGCAGGGTTATTTTGTCTTTTTCTACAATATGAATTCCGTGACATGTGTGATGGAATCACTAAATCCAGCAACCTATGGAATTCAATTCCGATCAAATCCCATCGTTTCAATTCCTCCCAATTCTGAACATATATGTTACCATTTAATAATCTTTGTAAATTTGATTCAATTCTTATTAGGGCCGTAAACGAACCGAACGTTCAGTGAATTATTCGTAAACCGTTCGGCAAGAAGTTCGTTTATGTTCGTTTATTTAATAAATGAACGAACATGAACAATTTTTTTTGTTCGTTTAGTTAAACGAACGAACATGAACAAGAGTCTTGTTCGTTCATTTATGTTCGTGAACGTTCGTTCATTTATTGTTCGTTTACGTTCATTTATATATTAAATTTAATATATAATATTTTATTTATTTACTTTGAATTCAAATAATATTTATTTATGTTCGTTTAGCCCATTCGTTTATGTTCGTTCGTTTAGCATGTTAATGAACGAACATGAACACACCTTATTTCTAAACGAACGAACACGAACACAAAGATTTTCGTTCGTTTACCGTTCGTGTTCGTTCGTTTGTTCGGTTAAGTTAAACGAACGAACATGAACAAGCCTTTATGTTCGTTCGGTTCGTTTACAACCCTAATTCTGATAACATAGAAATTCAAAGCCAACCAAAAACTTATTTATAATCCAAAAAAAATTATTATTTTAATAAATTTTACATCAATATTAAACAAACTACAAACTCTGTGTTATTTTCTATTTTATGAAACAAACTTTCAAAAATCTATGTTTTCTGAAGCCTAAATTATTTCCATGTCGTCTTTTATAAAAAAATGACATTAAACACAAATCTTCCTTTTAACATTATTAGAAAACAACAAAAACTCCCCCACAACTTCTTCGGTTTCCCTGCCTTCTATGCCTCCGTACAACCGACAACCTCCTCCCCCCTCTCCACCTCTGTTCGTCTCTACTTCCCTTTTTGTCCATTTATTTCACCTCGTGATGATTGAGAAGTTTGTGCCCTGTAACGACTTATTACTCACGACTTAGAAGTGAGGGATTTGAACTAGCGACCCTTTTCTTATTCGAACTGACGATTGAGGACTCCATACGCTTTTTTCTTATTCGAATGAGTCGAGTCGAACATTGGTGTTATAGAGCTCGACTTGTTAAGTTAAGCGGATTTTATTTTATGTTCGAAATCGACTCGAACTCGAGAATTATTAAGCTCGAGCTCGAGAGAAACCAGCTCGGGCTCAAAGAGCTCGTTAAAAGCTTGACTCGTTTACATGACACTTCTAGGATGGTTGTCAAGAACCATACACAATCCATCAAGTAGCTCGACATATTTGCTTGTCAATAATTGCCAATAAAATATGTCGCTCTAGTTGATGGATGGTGTATGACAACAATTGCACTTGACGGATAGGTTATAGAATGTTTTTAAGCGTTACAAAAAGTTTTTTAGCATGTTTTTAAAATAAAGTGTCGTATTAACTATTTTATATGATACTTTATTTAAAAAAACGTCCTAAAAAACTTGTTAATTAAAATACTCAAAAAAACATCCTATAAACTTATTGTAATACTTTTCGATGGAACACTTTATCGTGTTTTATAAACATACATTCTATAGAGTATTCTATTAGGACGCTTACACATTTTAGCCACGACCAAACACATAGTCCTACATGCAACAAAACAGAAACAAGAGAGCCACGACCGGTAGCTAGTCCAATGTTGAAGCAAATAGAAATTAAGAAGGATCCTTCATATATGCTTTGCTTAGCAGCTAAAATTGAAGTGATCTGCATTCGTAAAGAAACTACTATAGTGGTCTTGCAGGTTTGAGGGTCTATTTCTGAAACACACCTGCAATATCTAACTGGTAACATGATTCAAGTGCAACTGTTGCTCCAGGCACCCCAGCCCCCACTGCAGTCTTGTCCAGATGGTGGTGGACGCACCGGACGACGCGGAGGCGGTGGTTGTGCTTGAACAATTTTCAGTGAAGAAGAAATGAGAGCAAGTGCAAAGAGAATAGCAAAGAAGAAAGCAATAACACCTTTCATTTTCATATTCACAAATTGTTTGAATTGTAATTATGATTTGTTTCATCAATACATATGTACGTACATGTATATATATAGGGGTGAAATTTAGATAAGAGAACATATATATATATATATATATCAAATTAAAAAGAATAAAATTATCGTTTGTAAAATATGGTTCACTCCGTTAAGTACGGTCATCGAATCTAATCGATTTGAGTAAGTTTTTCGGTTTTTTTTTTCGAGGTAAGATTCTCGTTTTCTGTGATACTCATCGCGTAAGATAGTAGTGATCTTAAACGCTTGGTCACTGGTGCAAATGCATGATTTATTTATCCTATAATGATCATAAGGGGACGTTTAGTTTGATGGAATGATTTTGAGGAATTTTTATTTCATAGAAAGATTTGGAATTGGAAGGATTTGAAATCTTTGATGTGTTTCTTTTGATGGATTTGAAATAGAATGAAATTCCATATTTTATAAATAATTTATAAAATAAATTATCAATAATTACAAAAAATAATTAAATCACTTTTCTATTAATGAATTATTAGAAAACAATTATTTTAAATATATTTTAAAATATTATTATGTAGAAATCCTATAAAATTCCAACCACTAAAATCCTATATAAATATTTTATTTTCCTGAAAGTTACGTTTATCATGTAAATTACTCAAAAATTGGGTAGGTTTTGAATAACGCATTTTGAAAACTTCGCCATTAAAGAAGTCAAAACCGAACAATCAAAGTCTTTATATGAGGTGGTTTGGCTGGGGACACTGGTTTAGACATGAGAATGGGACGAGGATGGGGCGGGACCTCAATCTCCGTCCCCGTCCCCTTATCTCTATTTCCGTCTCCGTCCTCATCTCTGTTGGAGAATATAATTACATCCTTATCCCCATCCCCAATGGGGAACGGGGAAATGCATATTTTTTTCCCCGTTTATGTAAGCTATTTTAAATTAAATATGTGAGATATCATATATGTTTAAATTTCAAACATTTTTAATAAACCTAAAACCAAAAAACAATTAATAAAAAAAACTTAAATTCACATGTACCAAAAGATATTGAGTAATATAAAACATATCGAGTAATATACAAAACTTATCGAGTAATTGTATTTTGACTTGACATCCAAAAAATTACATATTAACATCCAAAAAATAACAAATTTTAGATTATAAACCTAGTTAGGAAATATGAAATTATGAATTAACGCTTTAGTTGAAATAAATAGTATATATATGTGTGTATATATATATATATATATATATAATTTATTAATTAATATATATAACGGGTACGAGGCGGGGCAAGAAGTACCATATCCATCCTCGTCCCCATCCCCGATTTAGCGAAGAATCCCCATCCCCGACCGGAACGGATGGACCGGGTTCCCAACGGGTCGGGACCCATTCCCATGCCTAACTGGGTTGCTCTCTTGGTCAAAACTAATATATAAGGATGGTATCTGACCACAAAACGAGTCATTAATTTGTGAGAATCTCTCTTAAGAAATATATATAATTAGTGCGAAAATTGATTATAAAACGGATCTTGATTTCGATTTGCTAATTTGAGCAATCAATTTTTTGCTTTTAGTAGATGTTCTCTTCTGACTTTTAGTTCCGTATAGTATTTGGTTGGTTTTTTCTTTTCGTAATTGTGGATGTCCGAACCAACTTATGTGCACATCGACTAATATATCTTAGGGGGTCTTGAAGTTAACGGCTAGACAAATCCTCCAATACCCCGTGAGTGGACTTGCTCAGTGACATCTAAGGAGCAAACCCAAAGTCTTATCAGTTGAACTATGGTCGTTTGCTTGTCTTACTGTTTGTGGTCTTTCCATATGATGTCTTCCCAATCCATTTTAACATAAAAAACATATAATTAAAAGTCGGTGTTAGTCAGTTGGTTTGTACATACCAGTTAGAGATTAATAATAATACACCCTATGATTTGCATGTAACCAAAAAAGAAAAATAAAAGAGGATCGATAGATTGATCATGCATGACGATGTTAATATATAGCCTACGTGCACACGAAATAACGAAGGTGGGGATCATTCCGAATCTAACCCGACATTTGCATTTGAAGGTACACGGACAAGCATGATTTATAAAAATTGGTTTGGATGAAAAAATTTCATATTCGGAAAAACCGATGTTTTAATAGTTGTTGCTCCACCTATGTGGTATATGCTTTCAACCGAAAATTCTCAAAAAATCAGAACTCTTAAAAGCATTAGTGATTTGTACTTAATGTTTCATAAATTTTCGTGTTTATGTGTACATATACACACTTACGTGAAAAATTGGTATGTGTCTGTTTCCTGATTGAATATTCGGTGTGTTTATCATGTGATATTTTAACGTTTTCATTTGAATGTTTGATTTTTGTTGTGAATATTTGATGTTTTGTTATAAAGGTTTGACGATATCAAATCATCCAACACCTTTAAAGTGATCTCATGGGTCTCAAAAAACTGTGTAGCCTCTTATCTATACTATATCATAAAACATTTGACAAAAACTCTTAAAAACAATTTTTATGCATGAAGTACTGTTTATTGATACATATTACTTAAAATTGAAGATTACAAGTAAACGGTGCGTAAATACAACTTACTAAAGCTTCATGTTTTAATTTGTGTAACTAACTGTAGATAAACATAATCAAACAGATGATAAACATTTCATTTTAAATATAATTAGGATAAACAATGAGTTCTAACAAAATATTTAATTATTATCTATACTATATTATAGAACATTTGACAAAAACTCTCAAAAACCATTTTGTATGCATGAAGTACTGTATATTGATGCATATTACTTAAAATTCAAAATTACAA